TTTGATATGTTAAAAATATATATATTTTCAAAATATTCTGTCAACAGTTACGATAAAATCAAAGCAATTGGCCTCCTGTTTCGCAGCAGGATAGAAATTTCCAAAAAGCGAAAATATACAACCCATCCAAAAAAGTTGAAATTGTGATGAGATTAAAATATCTGAAACGTTCATAAAATGTATAGTAAAATTATCAATTTTTTCAATTTTTTTTCCATTTTTCAACATTTTTAATATTTATATCTTTTTTAATATTTTCAGAGTTTTTCCAACTTTCTGGACTTGAAAAACCCCTCGTTACCCAAACAATTCAGCAATTATTGAATAGATGAGGCATGTCGTCCTAAATGAATTTGTACTACTTGTTTCTCAAAATAGATGTTTGACATAAATAACAAGTGCCACTTGATATCCTGAAATAGTATATTTCGTAACGAGTGCAAAAAAGTGTTTTATATGATACGTGCGTGTAACCGCACTATAGTCAACTGAAACCCAAAATAACGCATGACGCGCATGCGCATCACNCTATAATCACATTCGTCAGAAAATACTTTTAGACCGTGCGATGAATGCAATTTTTCGTCAGAAGGCCCGTAAACCGCGATCAAACCGAGCGAAGCGAGGTTAGAATCGCGGTTTACCGGGTCTTCTCACAAAAATATATATATTTTCAAAATATTCTGTGAACTGTTACGAAAAAATCAATAATTCCCGCAACAATACACAATTTCAAAAAAGCGAAAGTACACAACCCATCCAAAAAGGTCGAAGCAGTCAAGATGAAAATCTAGAAAGAATCTTAAAAAATACGAAAAAAAAAATTCTATGCCCAATATGACAATTATCATCAGTCTCAAACTTTTGTAACAAATAATGTGTTACTCAATGCCTGAAATCGCGTGTTACGTCGCAATACCTTATAGTCAAACGAGAAACTATTGTTTGAAAAAATAGGGGAGGTTGGGGTAAAACGGACACTTTTGACTTTTCTTAAAATGTTAATCTGGATTTGAACTATTGATAAAAATCAATAATTTTTCTTCTCAATACAAAGAAGAATTCTTTCCCTTTGTGAGGAGCCTAAACTGAGCTCAATTGATCAATTTGTTTCTGAGTTATGAATAATTTTTAAAAAGTCTAAAGTGTCCGTTTTACCCCACCCTCCCCTAATTCAATTTTCTCTCTATTTCCACACAACCAAATAATTCCTCTCTCCTCTGTTCCAGAAAATCGAGGCGCCATTTTTGGAAGCGGTTTCCCGAACCCTGGGCGATCGTTACACCGACAACGTAGAGACAATCTACAAGCTGACGATAAAATTCATAATCGAGACCCTGATAGACGGCTACGACAAAGCCTCCAACAACACCAAGTCCTAGTCCCCCACCTGATAATCAATGTTCCACGAAAGAGAACGAGGGAAAAAAATCAGATGTCACCCTTCACCGGAGGTGTGCCACCAACCGAGGACAAAGCCTCCAATGAATTGAGAGTCCCTGATCTGCAATTTCCGGTGACTCCAGCACCCGAATCGTGGAGGCATAAGTCCAAGGACACGGAGAAGTCGAACTCCTCCAAACCCCAAAAAAAAAACAATTTCGCATGAAAAAAAAACTGACAAATTCATAGTCAATTCCACTTAATCGTTCACCATCTCGACAGTTGTGTGGCTGAAGAAATCCTCGTGATTCCTAAAAAAACTAACCGAGATGAACCCAATCTAGCCAAATATGTGTTACTAAAAGTTAATTAAGAGACAATGACTGTGTGCGTGTTATCAATTACTTCGTCTCACAAAAAAAAATCTCCACTGAACTAACATTTCAACCGAATTAGTGTGAAGACAAGTGGAAGTCGAGATAAGAATGCTCCGCAGAGAGAAAAATAGGCAAGAGTTATGGGAATGAAAAATTTAAGTGAAGAAAAAAACATACGCGAGTCAACTCTCGCGCAACCACGATGTCAATTTCTTATGAGGTCTTTGAACTAGAACCCCTCCCCCCCCATTCCCCTTTTTTTCGCCTATCCACTTCACTGCCCCCTCCGCCGCTCATTCATCAACTTTTTTCCCCTCTTCCCCTAGGCAAAAATGTCACGAATTCCATAGATTCTCATTCTCATATCTCCAGTTCGTTTTAATATTTATTGGAAGAGGGGTTAGAACGAACTGACGTATGTAACATTCAAGGGATTATCGTTCATTTCACATATGAATATTTCGTGACACGAGATGTGCAGTATTTTTTTATATTCCTTTTTTTTCGTTGATGTTCAATCACAGAAATATTCCGAGTAAGAATTTTCTACTGGGCCATTGATTGTCGCCAAGTGGATGTGAAGAATATGAAGAAAACTATAAATATGGAAGAAAAACTAATGATGGGGAGATAAGGGTTTTAAGGATCGGCTCCGTTATCTGCCGAACGTCATCTACATTGTGTTTTTTATTCGATTTTTATTTCGAAATTTCAACTCAATGGGCCGTCACACAGACACCCCCGAAAAGTATGAATTTGGATTGNCTGGATTTGAACTATTGATAAAAATCAATAATTTTTCTTCTCAATACAAAGAAGAATTCTTTCCCTTTGTGAGGAGCCTAAACTGAGCTCAATTGATCAATTTGTTTCTGAGTTATGAATAATTTTTAAAAAGTCTAAAGTGTCCGTTTTACCCCACCCTCCCCTAATTCAATTTTCTCTCTATTTCCACACAACCAAATAATTCCTCTCTCCTCTGTTCCAGAAAATCGAGGCGCCATTTTTGGAAGCGGTTTCCCGAACCCTGGGCGATCGTTACACCGACAACGTAGAGACAATCTACAAGCTGACGATAAAATTCATAATCGAGACCCTGATAGACGGCTACGACAAAGCCTCCAACAACACCAAGTCCTAGTCCCCCACCTGATAATCAATGTTCCACGAAAGAGAACGAGGGAAAAAAATCAGATGTCACCCTTCACCGGAGGTGTGCCACCAACCGAGGACAAAGCCTCCAATGAATTGAGAGTCCCTGATCTGCAATTTCCGGTGACTCCAGCACCCGAATCGTGGAGGCATAAGTCCAAGGACACGGAGAAGTCGAACTCCTCCAAACCCCAAAAAAAAAACAATTTCGCATGAAAAAAAAACTGACAAATTCATAGTCAATTCCACTTAATCGTTCACCATCTCGACAGTTGTGTGGCTGAAGAAATCCTCGTGATTCCTAAAAAAACTAACCGAGATGAACCCAATCTAGCCAAATATGTGTTACTAAAAGTTAATTAAGAGACAATGACTGTGTGCGTGTTATCAATTACTTCGTCTCACAAAAAAAAATCTCCACTGAACTAACATTTCAACCGAATTAGTGTGAAGACAAGTGGAAGTCGAGATAAGAATGCTCCGCAGAGAGAAAAATAGGCAAGAGTTATGGGAATGAAAAATTTAAGTGAAGAAAAAAACATACGCGAGTCAACTCTCGCGCAACCACGATGTCAATTTCTTATGAGGTCTTTGAACTAGAACCCCTCCCCCCCCATTCCCCTTTTTTTCGCCTATCCACTTCACTGCCCCCTCCGCCGCTCATTCATCAACTTTTTTCCCCTCTTCCCCTAGGCAAAAATGTCACGAATTCCATAGATTCTCATTCTCATATCTCCAGTTCGTTTTAATATTTATTGGAAGAGGGGTTAGAACGAACTGACGTATGTAACATTCAAGGGATTATCGTTCATTTCACATATGAATATTTCGTGACACGAGATGTGCAGTATTTTTTTATATTCCTTTTTTTTCGTTGATGTTCAATCACAGAAATATTCCGAGTAAGAATTTTCTACTGGGCCATTGATTGTCGCCAAGTGGATGTGAAGAATATGAAGAAAACTATAAATATGGAAGAAAAACTAATGATGGGGAGATAAGGGTTTTAAGGATCGGCTCCGTTATCTGCCGAACGTCATCTACATTGTGTTTTTTATTCGATTTTTATTTCGAAATTTCAACTCAATGGGCCGTCACACAGACACCCCCGAAAAGTATGAATTTGGATTGAAAAAAAAGTTGAAAAAATTCTGAACATTTTTAACAAGCGTTTTTAATTAATATTGAGGAATAAGTTTAATAGAGATATAAATCTCTATTATAAAAAACTTAATCATCTTTTGAAAATTTGGTACCCAAAATTAAGAGTTCAAAATTAAGGGTCAAAGTAAGGGCCAAAAGGGTCAACATAAGGGTCACAAGGGCCATGATAAAGGTCACGGGAGCCATAAGGGTCGGAAGGGTCAAAATAAAGTCACCATAGTCATAAGGGACATGTGATGTTCGTATGGGGTTCATGTGGGGTCATAAGGGTTTCATGAGGGTCATCCACATGGGGGGGTTGTAAGGGGGGNCTGAACATTTTTAACAAGCGTTTTTAATTAATATTGAGGAATAAGTTTAATAGAGATATAAATCTCTATTATAAAAAACTTAATCATCTTTTGAAAATTTGGTACCCAAAATTAAGAGTTCAAAATTAAGGGTCAAAGTAAGGGCCAAAAGGGTCAACATAAGGGTCACAAGGGCCATGATAAAGGTCACGGGAGCCATAAGGGTCGGAAGGGTCAAAATAAAGTCACCATAGTCATAAGGGACATGTGATGTTCGTATGGGGTTCATGTGGGGTCATAAGGGTTTCATGAGGGTCATGTGGGGGTTGTAAGGGACGTACAGGGGTTATACGAGGTCTTGTAAGGGTTCTAACGGGGTCATCTGAGGGTCATATGGGGTTCATATGAAGGTCACGTGAACCCCAAGGGTCACAAGGGTCAAAATAAGGTCACGAGAGTCATAAGAGACATATGATGGTTCTACGGGGTTTATGTGGGGTCATCAGGGCCTCATAAGGGTCACGTAGGGATTGTAAGGGCTCGCACAGGGGTTATACGAGGTCATGTAAGGGTTCTAACGGGGTCATCTCTGGGTTATATGAGGGTTATATGAAGGTCACGTGAGCCCCACGGGTCACAAGAGTTAAAAAAAGGTCACGAGGGTCACAAGGGACTTGAGGGTCGTATCGGGTCTATATGGGGATCATAAGGGGCCATATGAGGGGCATATGGAGGTTATGAGGGGTCATATGGGGTTATGTAAGGGTCATATGAAGGTCACGTGAGCCGCAAGGGTCACGACGCTCAAAATAAGGTCATAAGGGACATGCGGTTCATATCGGGTTTATATGAGGATCATAAGGGGCCATATGAGAGTCATATGGAGGTTATAAGGGCCATAGGGGTTGTAAGGGGGTCTTATGAGGGTCATATGGGGGTTATATGAGGGTCTATTTCTCATTCAATCCAAATTCATAATTTTCAGGGGTCTCCAAGTGATGAAGGATCGAGTTAAAATTTTGAGATAAAAATCTAACAAAAACAAACAATTTAGATAACGTCCGGCAGATAATGGAGCCGGGCCTTAATGGGGAATACTATGACCGTTGTTGTATTACGTTTCACAAGAACATAAAAAATATGCACAAAAATTGTACCTTCTCAGTACCCGGAAACATGATGACATAATTGTTTTAACCGAAAGTCTTCAGAGAGATGATAATGGAGAAAAAGTATATTACACGCATAAGTTTAATGAAAATGAAAATGAGAATAATATATATACATATTGTATGAATTGCTGGTATAACTTGCAGTTACTGCAAATGTTGCATTATCTGTCTGTTTATTCTATACAGGTCCAAGGTGTATTATTGTATCTGATGGAATATTATATATTATGAAAGAAAATATATGATATATGATATGTACATCGCGAGATGACAGTTGTATTTTGGGTGTATTTTTTTTTTTTTTGAAGACATTGCTTTTAGGAATTTGGGGAAATTTGGATAGTGCTCTTCAGTGGATTTGCGATTGGATTTTTAGAAGATTTTCAATTTGTATTGGAAGTTGAAGGAAATTGGGTGTTTTGGAAATTTACGGCCGTTAGGGGAGGTTAAATTGGATCTTTGGAATGGATGGAGTCCAGGGGTAGACATCAATCGTTATTTTTATATTTTGGTAATATGCGAAGCTGCACCTTACAATAACTAAGGTTTACTCTAAAAATTTTCAATTTTTAACCCAATTTGTTGCAAGAAAAATGCACAAACAAAAATAATTTTCTTACAATAGGCCATAGCCCGAGGGCTTTCAGTCAGGTTTACTTATTTTCGTTGAAATTTGTAAACTAATAAAATTTCAACTGAATTTTTGATAGAATTTCAATTGAGATTCAGTAGGAAATTCATAGAATAGAACAGGATTTCAATTGAATTTCGACATACGTGTTCGAAAGTTTGAGGTCAATTGGGAATGAAGACGTATTTGAAAGATAATCAGGACCGCATCAGCTTCAATTTTAGGAAGAATTACAATATCAAAAATTAAACGGAGTTATTCGTTAGTTTCCTGATGAAAAAGATTGCTTGGGAATTCACGTCAATACTTTACCTTCTTCACTTCAAGGTGAAACTTTCAATGGGGGCTTCTGATGCATTACTATGGAATTTGATACCCCCGTTGCTGCCTTCTTTTCGCTCTTGTGCCTCTGTGTAGTATTAATGACGATGGTGGAAGTGAGCTTTTTGGGTCAAGCGTCTTTGACACTAATAAGGTAAGAGTATTCTCAGGGTGCGCGCTTCGAAAAGCAAGGAAACCTTGGTAAGGCAGGAGAACGACGAGGGAATTGGGGAACGGAGGAAAAATAATGATGTTTATCACTCAGATCCAGGGATCGCCAGTGACATAATTTTTTAGTAATGTTAAATCCAGAAAAAACCGTTGTTTCAAGATTTCAAAGATCTCAACATAATATTTTCAAAAGTCTCAATTCAAAGCCTGGAAATTTTGAGTTGAAACTTTAAAGGTTTCAAGTTGAGACTTTTTCCGAACTCAACTTGAATTTTTTTCTACGGGGAGACCGCGGTGAAATTTGAAATCTCTGGGTACTATAGAGACGATTGTAAAAGTTCATAATGTGTTGTAAAATATTATAAAAGTTTACAGCTTTAAAACACTAACCAGCAGCAAAAATTTCAGATGTTTACTGCCACCTCTACGGGTTCTATAAAAAGTAGATGCTTCGAATAAGGTAGAGGGTGGCGGTGCCTGTACCGCCCAGCGGGTATACCGCCCACCCGTATTTCTCAGGATTGGCTGGGAAAAAATTTGTCAACAGAAATTTTTAATTTTGTCCCGTGCAACATCGTTAAAAAAATCCAAATCATTTCCTACCGAATCCTTACAATATTTCGACCCCAGAATTTAAGATTTTTCCCATTTTCCGTTGGCCCATAATTAAATGGAGTACGAAGTATATGTTCGTTATACATTTCCAAACCCATTGCGACCTTTTCGATAGCAGAAAAATATCTTCATCAGTTATTATTGGCTATTTTGTCAGCCTCCGGGTTTGTGGGTAATTCCGCCCAGAGTTTGTGAGTAATGCCGCCCAGGGTTTCTATAGGGCTGCTAGACTCTGCAGCTAGAGGGCGGTCGAGTGACAGCTCGATTGTTTGGGGTAGCCGGTGGCCACTGGAACATCGGCTAAATTCAGGATAATTTATTATTACTCACGTGAAATCTTTCTCGAAATGGAGCCAAAGAATGGAAACGAAGGATGAAGATAGGAAAAATTATAACAGGTGGTCTGCGTTGCTCGAAAAAGTCATCAAAACAAGTTGGGCGGTATTGGACGCATGCCGGGCGGTATTACCCTCAAAGTTCGATTCCATCGCTCACTGGCCGATGGCAATTGAATTACACAATTAAATATGTTTAATGTTAATAAAAACTGTCCGCTTCACATCTTCGAGTAAAAACCTGGTAAACACCATTCTAACCGATTATGACTCCTTGTAGAGTGTGAGGCTGGAAAAAATACTCATTTCCCGTTGGGTGAGCGGTGCATGCACCACACGGAAAAAAATTAATCGGTAAAAGTCTTGCGATCGCAAGGAATTTCCCGAAGATTCCAAAAAGCTTCATTATTCTTCGTGCATGAAAAATGGGGATCTTCGGGAAACTCCTTGCGATCGCAAGACTTTTACCGATTTATTTTTCTCCGTGCAGCCACCCTAGGTGCAGTTATTCAACCTAGATGAATGACATTCTACATTTTTCGTGAATATATCGATTTATTGAAGTTAAAAACAGACAACTTGTTTGAAAATCAAGGGAAATAACTACTCTGCGCCAGAATAATCCTCGTCAGCACATTCAATTTGCTCAAGTTGTGTATACAACACTTCTGCCGTGAAAAATGGCTTTGAACCTTTCTGAGCCAGTGTGACACCAATATGCACAGGGGGGCATGGAAGCGGCTTATCCGTTGTGAATAAAAGCGTGTGGTCGCCATCTTCTTCATCGAACGCGTACGTACCCTGCGGACAAATCAGTGAAGTGGTTTTTATCACAATTAATACTTCAACTTGGCAGTGTCAATCTGCACTGTTAAGTATTTTCGTCTGAATTTTCCGCGCCAAATTCTGGAAATTTTTATCGCGTTCAAGTTGCACTGAAATTTCAGGAAATATTGTCATTAACAGATCAAATATTCTATTGATTTTCGGTTTAAATGATCTGGAAATCAATAAAATAGTTGATTTTTCAGTTCAATTATTCTGTGTAAATTCCGAAAGAGCAGGAAAATTCAGGGAAAAATTGAAAATTCATGTCATTTTGTCACAATCAAGTTGTAAAATTTCCATCTCACTCCCACGGAAAACTCATGAATTTCCGTGAATTCTTCTTAAAAATTGAAATTTCATAACCATTTTTTCTCGAAATCCGATTCAATGTCACTCTTATGAGATTTACTATAATATCTTCCATGAAATTTCAACAAATTTCTAACAGTGTACGTGTAACATTGAAGATAATAGATGAAAAATACAGTTGATATGGGACAAGCCTCAGTGCCACCGGCTGTTATTAACGACAAACTTTTCCAAGCAATATTGTCCCAGGTATCAGGTGGGTTACGACTAGTCTCGCATAATCCAGGTGGATCCCCTTCACTTTTAGCGAGCTGGGTGGTCCTAGAGTTAATCTCATAGCTAATCTGTCGATGAAAATTTTTATAAATATCGCATATTAGTATTTTGATTGGGCATTTCTAGGGAATCAACTGGGAGAAAATTACACAAAAAAAATTTCAATTCGAAAAGGAAGTCTCAAATTGAGACTTCCGAAAATTTCAAGTGAAGACTTGAAAATCTCAATTTTGAACTTGAAAATCTCCACACTGAGAGAAAAACGACAAAGTTCTCAAACAAGTCTTGCTTGTGCCAAGAAAATAGTTTTTTGAAAATTATCAAAAAAAGATTTTTTGTGTCAAACATGCAAAGAGTGCGCCGGAATGAAAAATTTTTGTCCCAAAGACAGATTTAGTAGTTGAAAAAAAATTGCATTCTCTGTACACGCAAGAAATGTCATTTCTAGCACTACTCCTTCGTTATTCGATACTCCCATACGTATTTTGCTCCCTAAAAATCTTTGTTTTATGCGAAACAAGGAATAGTAGTTTTTCGTTTCAGCTGTCTAATAATCACAGACAACAAATGAACCCTTAAATGAAACAATAACAATGATATGATAGCAATCTTGTAACTTAGGGATTAAATATTTGTTGATCAATTTTCCTCTGTATGAGATATTTTCATCCTGAAAAGGCACCGTCTGGTGTGAATTATCCGCCTCTTGAGCCAAATATTTCGTTGCTGTCGAAAGCAGAACAATTATTCATGTTTGAGACTTTCAAATTCGAACCAAACCAATTCTTTTTTAGCAATTTTCAACTAGCAATTTTATTGGCCCAAACAAGATTTGTTTGACAACGTGTCTGTTTTTCTCTTACTGCAGTTGAAATTTGAAAGTTTCAAGTTAAGACTTACTGAAGGCTAAAATTGAAGTTTTCAACTCGCAATTTAAGATCTTTGAAATCTCAAAATAAGGATTTGTTGGTGGGGGTAATTTTCCATTATTGGGTATCTCACCACTAAGTCACTACTATCAGTGATATCCTTGAGCCACTCGAAGTTACAGGGGGATTCGTCACAGTAGCCGCCATCAACGGATACATAATCATTATCTGTTATTTTGACGAAAAACTGGACTGCTTCGCGAGTTTCAGTGAATTTTTCCGATTTTGGTTTATCCTGCTCCGGTTCAGACTCCTGCTCGGGCTCAGGTTCCTCCTCTGACTCAGATGAAGTATAACCAGCCCAGCAGTCTCCTTCGTCATCCTCATCGCTGTCCGGTGAGCCATACAGTAATTCCCCTGTTACAAATGGTCTCGAATCTTTATGAAACAATTCGAAATCAATCGTCAGAGACAAGCATGGAAGTGGTTTGTCAGATAGATACACGATTTGCTTCTCCGATTCTTGTAGTTTATACGAGCCCTGTGGATGAATTACCAAAGTTGCATGTCATTTTGTTGACTATTGACTCTGACAATGTCGATTAGAGCATCATATTGAACAATAAAATGAATACAAATTACACTTGATATTGGACAAGAGTCAGTTTCACCCGCTATCATCGAAGAGATAGCCCTCCAGACAATGTTGTCAACAGAATCATAAGATTGATGACTGGCTTCGCACAATCCAACCGGATTCTTTTCAATGTTTTCGATCTCGCGGCCTGCCTGGTTGATCTTGTAGGACAGCTACATGGAGAGAATATGGAATTAAAAATTACGATGTGACCATAGTAATCGAGGACAATACCGGAAAAAATTAAAATTTGATTTATTTTAAGGATGTTTAATCTATCAAGTGGACGACTCAGTTGAAAAGAAACAAAACTGACTAAATAAATCATTCATGTTACAAATTAATTTCCTCATCAAATTAGAAGTGTTATGACGTACGTTTCCAGTCTCAAAAAAAATAATTTAAAAAAATGTTCATAGATAAATGATCTCTCAAATATGACCCTGGCATATGAGACAATATTAAAATTATGGTGAATAATGTGGGTTTCGGCTAAACATCCTTAAGCGAACGTTTACGATATGAAATTCATTTTTCACTATTTAACATAGTAATTTTTAGGGCACAAAACAGTATAAAATGCTGCGATGAGAAAATAATTTTCAAAAATATTTAAAACGTTTCATTTTTGTTCCCAATTTTTACTATGTTTAATTTTAATTTTTTCTTAGGATTTAAAACTTTAGTTTATACTCTCTCGTTGGTCTCACCATGATATCATCATCATCAGTAACGTCATGAAGCCAGTTGAAATTGCAAGGGAATTCATCGCAATAGTTGTCCCCATTCAAATCACCTTTTGCCCTTATCTGTACTAAGAAGTCCCCGAGATCGAGGAGTGTTGAATATTTTTCAGAAGCTTGATCTTCCGGCACTTCCTCCTCTGGCGGTTGCTCTTCCGGCGATTCCTCTATTGGATTCCATGGAACGATATATCATTGGATGATTAATATCTATATACCTAGTCGTATTAGCCGCGGAAAAAGTGAAATAAATTTTGTAATGAAGAACAAGTCTTTGTGAGGGCAAAAACAACCCCTCTTCAGAGAAATTCTTACCTTGTGGCTGCTCCTCTTCTGGCTCTTGCTCTACTTCAGGTGATTGCTCCTCTGGCTCTTGCTCTACTTCAGGTGATTGCTTCTCTGGTTCTTGCTCTACTTCAGGAAATTGCTCCTCTGGCTCTTGCTCCACTTCAGGGGATTGCTCCTCTGGCTCTTGTTCTACTTCAGGTGATTGCTCCTCTGGCTCTTGCTGTACCTCAGGGGATTCCTCCTCTGGCTCTTGCTCTACTTCAGGGGATTGCTCCTCTGGCTCTTGCTCTACTTCAGGTGATTGCTCCTCTGGCTCTTTCTCTATTTCAGGGGACTGCTCCTCTGGCTCTTGCTCTACTTCAGGTGATTGCTCCTCTAGCTCTTGCTCTACTTCGGGTGATTGCTCCCCTGGCTCTTGCTTTACTTCAGGGGATTGCTCCTCTGGCTCTTGCTCTACTTCAGGGGATTGCTCCTCTGGCTCTTGCTCTACTTCAGGTGATTGCTCCTCTGGCTCTTGCTCCACTTCAGGTGATTGCTCCTCTGGCTCTTGCTCTACCTCAGGTGATTGCTCCTCTGACTGTTGCTCGACTTCAGGTGATTGCTCCTCTGGCTCTTGCTCCACTTCAGGTGATTGCTCCTCTGGCTCTTGCTCTACTTCAGGTGATTGCTCCTCTGGCTCTTGCTCTGCTTCCGGCGATTGCTCCTCTGGCTCGTGCTCTACTTCAGGTGATTGCTCCTCTGGCTCTTGCTCTACTTCAGGTGATTGCTCCTCTGGATCTTGCTCTACTTTAGGTGATTGCTCCTCTGGCTCTTGCTCTACTTCAGGGGATTGCTCCTCTGGCTCTTGCTCGACTTCAGGTGATTGCTCCTCTGGATCTTGCTCTACTTCAGGAGACTGCTCCTCTGGCTCTTGCTCGACTTCAGGTGATTGCTCATCTGGCTCTTGCTCTACTTCAGGGGATTGCTCTATTGAATTGCATGGGATGCAATATTATTCAGACATTATATGCCGAGGGGCTACTCACTCCGTAATTGCATGGCATCATCGTTTTGAAATGAAGCAACGTGTCATGATTTCATAATTTCAATTGATTTCGAATGATTTCATTATTTTGAAATCAATGATTTCAGAGACAACGAAGTTGTATTAATTCAAACATCTCGAATTACAGTAGCACGCCTGGGGGTGTACGGGAAGCCCATTCAGCGAATGCGACTATATTTTCCTACTCCTGCATGGCGCTTAGTTTTTTGAAAATCACTTGATTCACTTGATTCAAGTGATTTTGTCGAATTCAATAATTTCACGTGATTGAGAACTGATTTCATGATCGAGTATCGCTATGATTTTCGGAGTGAGTAGCTCCTCGTTATACTCCAAGTTTGTTACGTATTTCTAGTTCGAGGGGGCCAAAAGACGAGTTATTGCGACTAGTCACGTATGAAAAATAGTATATTTCGTCATTAGGCCGAAAAAAACTTCGAAAAAAAAAAAGTTTTTTTTGGCGGTATGACGAACAATATTTGTTGTAACGACGGCCGTAGGCAGAGATTCACGGACGCGGAATGACAAAAATTTCGTTATTGCTGTACTAAACCCGGCTCACCTTAAATTTATGATTTTATATACTAATTCAATGACTGTTGGTGAGTTAACAACGGGAAACTTTTCGAAAGCTCAAATGGGGATATCCCAGTCTCAAATAGACTCGAAAATCACCATTTCATGTTGTCGAAAGTCTCAATTTAATAGCTTTGAAACCTCAAAATAATTGTTTTTTTCCGGGTGACTAATTACGCTGTTCATTCTGAAATGCTGTCCGGGTACATTTCAGAAGAACTTTTACCAGGTGACTGTTCCTCTGGCGATTGCTCAACCTCAGGGGATTGCTCCTTCTCAGGCTCTTGTTCTGGAATCGATTCTTCGGAACTTGAAGACGACGAAGAACTTGATGACGACGATGAACTTGATGGGGAATCATTGCCGGATTGCGCTTCTGGACATTTCGGGAACCACGGTATAAATATCTGGAGTAGAAAATTGATGCGGCTGAAAATTTTCCATCATCTCTTGATGAATATTGCAATTATCAGACCTTCACAGGCTTCAAGAATCTGCACTCAAATCTTTTGACGGGAGCAAAAAATCCGGTAAATTGAGCTTCACATCGGGGTTGTCCAATTATAAATAGCAGTAGTGAGGCGTATCCGAGAAAGACTATACTCGGGAGATTTTTCATGACACAAGTGTAACAAATTGTCGAAGGCAGAAATTGAAATGATATTACTAACGTCGGCAGCTAGTGGAAAAGTCTATTACCTTATCAGACGGAAAAGTCATGTCTCCTTGAAGGAAATAGATTATGAAAATACACGCGCGCCTGATGCCATCAAAGGTATAATTAGGGTACGTGCATTGGTAATTGGTTGATAACTCTTCCTCGAAGCGAATGCATGTAGCTTTAATAATTTACAGAAATGTATTGAACACCAAGTTTGACGATATTTGACGTCAAAATCAGAAATGGAAAAATTTTGAATTATTCGATACTTTCGAACACAGCAAATCTGAGGATAAATGATGTTTTCCACATGCGGAGAGAGAACTGTTACTCGTCTCCATGTCTCGTTTACAAGCTCGATGACATTCAGCATATGTGTATTCCTATGCGACTTGTTTAGGTCGCAGGAAAATTACTTCCTCCATTGATAAGGTAATGCGCTTAAGGATGTTCTACACCCTTTCTGCCAAAATTCACGTTTTTTAAATTTTTCTGGCAAACTTATGATGGAATTGACGTGAAAAAATATAACGCTTTTGCGTTTTGTCATTATTTAATGACTGACAAAATTTTAAGGTAGTGCGAACATTTTCCTGCGTTTTCTCTAAACTTTTAAAAAGAATCACAAAACTGTAGAAAAAACGCATGAAAATTATCGCACCACTACGCAACTTCGTGAGACATTAAAGAATGACAAACCACAAAATCGTTATATTTTTTCACGTCACTCCCATCGATAATTTGCCAGAAAAATGAAAACAACGTCAATTTTGGCTAAAAGGGTGTCGAACATCCTTAAATAAGCGAACGACATGAATTCTGTCATTTCAATTTGCCTATGACGACTTGATTCGCGTGTCTTCCTGCAACTATTTTTCTTGGACACATCCTACTAGTGCTGTTCATCATCGGAAAAGCGAGATGCGATGGGAAAAGGGACGAAGAAAAAAGCGGAAAGTTCTCCGGGTTCTTTGCGCCGGTTAAACGATTCGAGTGCCGATTTTTGCAGTCAGTAAAAGTAAATGCATTGAAACATTCGTACGAGGAACGACAAGAATATCCTGCTGCACAGATTTGGTTCTCCAGATATTCATACCCTGGTTTCCGAAATGTCCGAATACGCAATCGGCAGACTCACCTTCGTCATCGAGTTCGTCCTCATCGTCAAGTTCATCGTCGTCTTCGAGTTCGGAAGAATCGGTGCCTGAGCCAGAACAATCGCCTGAGCCTGAGTCAGAACAATAGCCAGCAGAGGAATCCCCTGAAGTCGAGGAAGAGCCAGAAGAGAAGCGCCCCGGTAAAAATCCCTCTGAAAAGTACCAAGTCGACAGAATTCGATTTTTCTATATAACTTATTCTTTTCATATATTTTCTATAGAATTTGAGCCGAGGAAATTCTATAGAAAATATCTCAACAGCATAAGTTATATAGGAAAATTGAATTCTATTGACTTATTCTACTGACATTTTCTATTGAACATTCCAATAGAATCGGCCAAAAACTAATAGAACAGTTCAATAGAAATTCAACAGAAATTCGATAGGTTTTTCTATTCAATTTTTTCGTCCGTGAAGCATCACAAAATTTTGTCTTCACTTTGAAAGCTATCAATACTTGATATATTTGCGTGATGAACTATTTTCCTATTATCTACCAACGTGTCTACCCCAACTACAAACTCGATGCCATTGAGTGTGTGTGTATTCCAATGCGACTGGTAAGGTAATGCACTTCAACAAACGAACGACATCAGTCCTGTTATTTGAAGTTCCCTTTGTCGACTTGATTCACGTGAGCCATGAGAAGTCTCCCTACAACTATTCATCTTGGACACGTCCTACTGGTGCTATTCATCATCGGGCAAACCGGATGCGATGGAAAGAGGGATGAAGGGAAAAACGCACCACCTGAAGAAGAGCCACCGCAAGGTAAAAATTTGGTATCAGTATGGTTGCAGGTTGCAGTATGGTTACCGACGCAAAGAACCCGGAGAACTGTCCGCTTTTTCCTTCGTCCCTTTTCCCATCGCATCCCGCTTTCCTGATGATGAACAGCACCAGGAGGATGTGTCCAAGAAAAATAGTTGCGAAATAGACAAGCGAATCAAGTCGTCATAGGCAAATTGAAATGACAGGACTCATGTCGTTCACTTATTTAAGCGCATTACCTTATCAATGAAGGAAGTAATTTTCCTGCGACCTAAACAAGTCGCATAGGAATACACATATGCTGAATGTCATCGAGCTTATAATCGAGACATGGAGACGAGTAACAGTTCTCTCTCTGCATGTGGAAAAATCATTTATCCTCAGATTTGTTATGTTCGAAAGTATCGAATAATTCAAAATTTTTCCATTTCTGATTTTGACGTCAAGTATCGTCAAACTTGATGTTCAATAAATTTCTGTAAATTATTAAAGCTACATGCATTCGCTTCGAGGAAGAGTTATCAACCAATTACCAATGCACGTACCCTAATTATACCTTATACCATAATCTATTTCCTTCAAGGGAACCTGACTTTTCCGTCTGATAAGATAATGGACTTTTCCACTAGCTGCCGACGTTAGTAATATCATTTCAATTTCTGCCTTCGACAATTTGTTACACTTGAGTCATGAAAAATCTCCCGAGTATAGTCTTTCTCGGATACGTCTCACTACTGCTATTTATAATTGAACCCCGATGTGAAGCTCAATTTACCGGATTTTTTGCTCCCGTTAAAAGATTTGAGTGCAGATTCTTGAAGCCTGTGAAGGTCTGATAATTGCAATATTTATCAAGAGATGATGGAAAATTTTCAGCTGTATCAATTTTCTACTCCAGATATTTATACCGTGGTTCCCGAAATGTCCAGAAGCGCAATCCGACAATGATTCCCCATCAAGTTCATCGTCGTCATCAAGTTCTTCGTCGTCTTCAAGTTCCGAAGAATCGATTCCAGAACAAGAGCCTGAGCAGGAGCAATCCCCTGAGGTTGAGCAATCGGCGGAGGAACAGTCACCTGGTAAAAGTTCTTCTGAAATGTACCCGGACAGCATTTCAGAATGAACAGCGTAATTAGTCACCCGGAAAAAAACAATTATTTTGAGGTTTTTAAAGTTATTAAATTGAGACTTTCGGCAACATGAAATGGTGATTTTCGAGTCTATTTGAGACTGGAATATCCCCATTTGAACTTTCCAAAAGTCTCCCGTTGATAACTCACCAACAGTGATTGAATTAGTATATAAAATCATAAATTTAAGGTGAGCCGGGTTTAGTACAGCAATAACGAAATTTTTGTCATTCCGGCCGTAGTCAGAGATTCACGGACGCGGAGCGTCCGTGAAACGCTGCCTTACGGCCGTCATTACAACAAATATTGTTCGTCATACCGCCAAAAAAACTTTTTTTTTTTAGAAAAGTTTTTTTCGGCCTAATGACGAAATATACTATTTTTCATACGTGGCTAGTCGCAGTAACTCGTCTTTTGGCCCTCTCGAAGTGGAAATACGTAACAAACTTGGAGTACAACGAGGAGCTACTCACTCCGAAAATCATAGCGGTACTCGATCATGAAATCAGTTCGCAATCACGTGAAATTATTGAATTCGACAAAATCACTTGAATCAAGTGAATCAAGTGATTTTCAAAAAAATGAGCGCCATGCAGGAGTAGGAAAATATAGTCGCATTCGCTGAATGGGCTTCCCGTACACCCCCAGGCGTGCGCCGCTATAACGGGAGTCTACTGTAATTCAAGATGTTTGAATTAATACAACTTCGTTGTCTCTGAAATCATTGATTTCCAAATAATGAAATCATTAGAAATCAATTGAAATTATGAAATCATGTCACGTTGCTTCATTTCAAAACGATGATGCCATACAATTACGGAGTGAGTAGCCCCTCGGGATATCATGTCTGAATAATATTGCATCCCATGCTATTCAATAGAGCAATCCCCTGAAGTAGAGCAAGAGCCAGAGGAGGAATCCCCTGAGGTGCAGCAAGAGCCAGAGGAGCAATCCCCTGAAGTGGAGCAAGAGCCAGAGGAGCAATCCCCTGAAGTAGAGCAAGAGCCAGAGGAGCAATCACCTGAAGTAGAACAAGAGCCAGAGGAGCAATCACCTGAAGTAGAACAAGATCCAGAGGAGCAGTCCCCTGAAGTAGAACAAAAGCCAGAGGAGCAATCACCTGAAGTAGAGCAAGAGTCAGAGGAGCAATCACCTGAAGTAGAGCAAGAGCCAGAGGAGCAATCACCTGAAGTAGAGCAAAAGCCAGAGGAGCAATCACCTGAAGTAGAGCAAGAGCCAGAGGAGCAGTCCCCTGAAGTAGAGCAAGAGCCAGAGGAGCAATCGCCCGAAGTAGAGCAAGAGCCAGAAGAGGAGCAGCCACAAGGTAAAAATTTCTCACGAACTTCGAATTTTTCAACTTTTAAATCATTTGCTTTTTTCTGAATTGATACCGAACAATTTATCACCAAATTGTAAAGCCGCAATTAATTTTTAGAATTAATTTTTGAATTTTGTTTTTAAATTCAATTTAATTTAATTTTAATTAATTCGTTATTCTTCTGTTTTGGATTTTCCTATTATTTTTATTTCTCGTTTGCGATTCTATACAACATCTACGTCCACGTCGTGAATCCTGTGAATCCTCACAACTCGGTAAAACAACGTAAAACCGGAAAAAAAATTCCTTTTTTAAATTTCTTCATGTTCCTAAACCGGAAGCATTGTTCTTCAATCTAAAGGAGACATACGGATTTCTAGAACTTTTTTCTGTGAGGATATGCAATGATTAATTACTGAACAATACGTCATCTTATAAGTAGAGCAATCACCGGACGAGCAACTATCGGAAGGGAAATCGCCTGAAAAATATTCGGAGCTTCTTGAGTTAGGACAGTTCATCGTGGTAGAAAGACGTGATGATGATTTATCGGTAGGAGACGGCTACTGTGACGAGTACCCTTGTACTTTCGAGTGGCACCATGATGTTACTGACGATGAAGACATAGTGGTAAGGCGCAATAATATATATAATATATATTTGTCATTAGCGGTTAGCCATCGGGTGCCCTGACGGAAAAAACTCCTTAAATCCTATCCTTCTATTTACTAAAGATGAACGAAACGTGAAGTTTTTTCTAATCTTTAATTCTGATTGGTTAATATGTAACATGAAGTTATTCACAAAAAAAACACGCGGCATTTTCAAATTCTTCAGTGACATAATTTCAAATTCTTCAGAGGTAAATTTTTTTTTCACGTCATATATATATCTCACATGTATATATATTATCAGTGAAATTAATAAATTCTGTCCTTTTATGGAGACCGATTATTTAAAAAAATTGAAGATAATTAATTGAAAATTAAAGTTCTTTATAGATTCTTTTACTCTAGTTCGCTATTCACTTCAATCATTAGTCGAATTCTCTTTCATTCATTATCAATATTTATAAGGTATTCATGAGAAAATGAAATTCAATGAATTCCATTTCTTTATGTCAACAAATGAATAGATCAGCATAGATCTTGTTGGAAGAAAAAAGGGTAATTGGAAATAATGACGTTATTGCCGTTGACTCATTATTTCCGATTCAGGTTAGTAGCGCAATTCTGACACGTATGGAAAAATCCAATAGGAAAACCTAGCGAATTAGCTAGAAAATTCTATTGGGATTCTGGAGAAAGAAATTCAAAATCTATTGACTTTTTCGAATGAAATATGCAATAGAATCAGCGCAAAAAACTAATAGAATTTTCCAATAGAATTCCAATAGAAATCCCATAGAAATCCGATAGATTTTCTCCAGAATCCCAACTGGGCTGTCCGGCTCCTAGCCATTTCTTCATTTCAAATTTCTGGTAAACTTTATAGTCATCGTGCACTATAAAGTTTTTCGCAATCGGATCTAATAACAGTGACAACTCTAACAGATTTCATACGAGATAAACATCAGCGGCAACGTGATAGCAAGTAATAAGGATAATCCTACAGGATTTTGCGAGACCAGTCATCAGCCATATGATTCCGTTGACAATAGCGTTTGGAGGGCTCTCTCATCAGTAGTAGCAGACGGGACCGAATCTTGTCCCATATCAAAAGTAACTAAGATTCTTTTTCTTTGAAATTTTTAAATTCAATAGTTAACAATGACAAACAACTCCTATCATTCATCAACAACAGGGCACGTATAAATTCACCGCACCAGACAAACAACTTGTGTACCATTCTGACGAGCCGCTTCCATGCAGCAGTCTGGGAATTCACTTCGAGTTGTCTCACAGGGGATCCAAAAAAATTGCAGATGGACAGTTGTTGTATAATTCACCTGACGGGTCACTTGAAACCGATTGCCCCGATTCTTTCGAAGAATAGTATAAGTGAATTTCATCAGCAGATTCCGTATTCTTTCTGAGCTTTTTGAATAAATTGTATTTCCAAAGGCTATTCAATAAAATACCGGTATTCCTCATTCCTGTGGTCGGATTCCAATTATTTTTATGAAAATGAAATGAAAAAAGAATCAGAAGGAGATAATCTTTTATTCTTAAAGTATTAGAAAGATATCAATATTTCAGCGAAAGGAACTGCAAAAATTCATTCTTCAATGTCTCCGGAAAGTTTTCAAATCAATGTTTTTCGAATAATGAAAGAATACCCATAAATTTGATTTCTATTCTCGTATTTTGATAAAATGAATTGAATAAATGACCGAAATTGGGAATTGGAGACAAAAATTTTATCGGATTATTATCAATTTTTGTCGCCATAAAAAGACAGCTTCAACATGTAAATCTAAGGTAAAAATAATTCGTTCTAATTAGGTAATTTAGATTGACGAAATCACTCTCGCTCAAGGGAGCGCAAGCATTTCAACTCGACCTATGTACTCACTCTATCGACAAACCAAAAAGGATTACAGGAAACACTGGGTAGCACATTATTTTGGCCAATATTCCACGGTGATATCCTGATCCTTAACCGAAATTACGTAGAAAAATCCCAAAAATACTAAACTCTAACTCAACAAAACTGAACTCGACAAAAATATCTGTAACATATCTGGTTTATTCAATGAATTTGATTAATGAATATTATTCTCAAAATTTAGGGAATCGATTCACGCGATAGGTAACCAATTTAAGTAATTTTCCGAACTTAAGGTAGCTCTGAAGTAAAGTTAAGGTAGCAGGTAGCTCTAATTTTCCGTATAAATTTTTATCGCAAAGAAAAGGTAACGATTTATAAATTTTTACTCCTCTCTCTCTCTCTCTCTCTCTCTCTCTCTTTTTATACATAAATACCCTGGAGTTCCGCAGATGACGAATTCGCCTGGAATTTCGTCACACGTAAAATTGAAAATTCCCGCCGTCAGGACAGATGTCAGCGCATGCGCAGACGGACTCAAGATTCAATATGGACGACAGATTTGGATGGCGGCAGGGGCAGGTCGTCAATCATCAGGAAAAACAACAAACGACAAAACAGTTCGAGTTCAGCAGCTGTTTCCGCACTTTATTGTTTATTTACAAATAAATTTATTTTTTGTAAGTAACAATTGAGAGTCATCTCTCATTTTCTTTGTCCTCTTTGTACCTTTCCTTGGTAATATTAGAGGTGAATATCAAGAACAACAGTTTTTAGGTTAGAACCTGAGTTGTTGATACAGTAATAAATGTCTGTAATTTATTTTCAAGTTTCTGGGAGACTTTGGGCTCCTCGCTCGTAGATGCCAAGCGTCAAAGATGATTCTGAACCCGAAGGTGAAGAAATGTCGCACGATAGCAATAACAGTGACCAGAGCTCGGCATCCTGCGACAGCAGTGCTGAACACAGTGACAGTGATGACTCCTCGGAGATGGATGAGGACGAGTGCGAGAGGAGGAGAAACGAGTGTATGGAAAATCTCGTAGATCTGGAGAGACAATTTACACTCCTTAAAGAACAGTATGTGTTCTACATCCGTTATTTTCACACAGAGAAAAACAGCAGAGTTCTCAGACAAGTCTTACTTGTGCCAAAAAAATCGTTTGTTGAAAATAATAATGTGACAGCAATCTTGTACCTCAGGGAGAAAATATTTCACTGTCTTGTGCAGCAAGTATTTTAATGAAAGGGCATAAACTCAATAAATTCATTCCCCAAAGAACTTTTTAAGGATGTTCTACACCCTTTCTGCCAAAATTCACGTTTTTTTAATTTTTCTGGCAAACTTATGATGGAATTGACGTGAAAAATCATAACGTTTTTGCGTTTTGTCATTATTTAATGACTGACAAAACTTTTAAAAAGAATCACAAAACTGTGGAAAAAACGCATGAAAATTATCGCACCACTACGCAACTTCGTGAGCCATTAAAGAGTGACAAACCACAAAATCGTTATATTTTTTCACGTCATTCCCATCGATAATTTGGCAGAAAAATGAAAACAACGTCAATTTGGGCTAAAAGGGTGTCGAACATCCTTAAGGGGAGACCGCGGTGAAATTTGAAAGTCTCGGCTCGGCCTTTAGAGCCATTGGATGACTTTTGATATATGAAGGGATATATAAAAAAGTCAGAAAAATTTCGGACCCGAACCGTTTTGCCCCGTATATCCACCAAAAACGCCATTTTTCACGTTTTCAGCTTAAAAATGCTCCTCGGACCACAATTTTCATCCGATTTCAACTTTTTTTTTTTAATGTTCGTTATACTCCAACGAACAAACCCAAGTATCCGTTTTGCTTTATATTTATTAGATGATGAGAAAATGTTTTTTTTAGTTTTCATTTTTTTCCTCTTTCTAGCAAATGCTAAAATTCCTTGTTTTCCGCCCATGTTTTTTTTTATATTTCGATTACGTATGATTACAACGTGGAATAACGAAAAACAACTAATTTTAGCATTTGCTAAAAAGAGGAAAAAAAATAGAAACTAAAAAAATCATTTTCACATGATCTGATAAATATAAAGCAAAACGGATACTTGAGTTCTTTCGTTGGAGTATAGCGAACATTAAAAAAAAAAAAAGTTGAAATCGGATGAAAACTGTGGTGCAAGGGGCATTTCTAAGCTAAAAACGTGAAAAACGACGTTTTTGGTGGATATACGGGGCAAAACGGTCCGGGTCCGAAATTTTTCTCACTTTTTTATATATCCCTTCATATATCAAAAGTCGTCCAATGGCTATTAAGGCCGACTTTCAAATTTCACCGCGGTCTCCCCTCAAAAGAGGGGATATGTGTCCATATATTGTAGGATCGCATTCTTTACAGAGTCGTCATTAAAAATGCAAACAATTTGGTATTTGAATAATTATATCTCAGTCGGAAGAGTGCTCTTGCCCACGGTCCCGTTCGTTATGGGGACCTCAAACCCAGGTTCGTCATTTGTTTAGACTACATCGAGATCTGCGTCGCCAACGGATCAATTGCTGAGACGATGTTTACGCTAAAGTACGCCAGCACCTCTCCGAACAAAGCCATCTCAATCCCGAGTTATGATCATTCGGTCCCAGTATTTTAAGCGTGAAAAATCTCTCCACACTTGTGTGAATGATCCGCCTCTTGAGCCAAATATTTCGTCGTTGTTGACAGCAGAGCAATTATTCATGCTTGAGACTTCCAAAGTCGAGCCAAACAATTTTTTTGGTAATTCTCAAGTGACGATTTTGTTGGCCGAAACAAGACTTGTCTGAGAACTCGTCCGTTTTTCGTCCGTGGGGGTCATTCGCGGAGTTGCTCTTAGATTTTTCTAGAAAATTCTTCGGTTTTATAGAGAATTCTCTGATTTTACAAAAAAAATTGAGAAAATTATCGAAATTAAAAAAAAAAAAAAACAATTTATTCTCCAATAGCATTTGGCCTTCCACGTGATTAATAAAATCATGGAGATGAACCTATTTATAAAAAAAATAAGGCAGTGTCTATTCGCACGCTCCACGGTAAATTTTACCGTGGATTCACGGTAGATTCTCACTCACATCTTGTCTGACATCTCTGCTATGAACTCTTTTGAACTCTGGCAGTTCAGTTGGAAACCAGAGTTGTGACAACATTGTCCAGTGGGGTCTATGAGTCTCCCCTGGTTAAAAAATCATCCTTAAAATCATTTAGTCTATATTTCGGCACCCACTTCTGCATTCGGACCCCATTCGGCAAATATGAATATCGTTAAGAAAACGTTCACATAAAATGTAAAAAACTATTCATTTCATCTTTTATTTGCATTTAGTTAATTATTTATATCATTTTTTATTTGCGTTAATCTATACTGATATTCGCATTCGAGAAAATTGTTTACTAGTCTACTATCTCCATATCACTTACCAATTGATTCGATGTGTCTAGTTTATTGTCTAGATTTAATTTAAGAAGTAAAAGCTGAGGGTCCACGATCTCCCATATATCGACGGTAAAAATTACCGTGGAGCGTATGAATAGACATTGCCAAAAAATAAACCTTTTTCAGACTTTATCGTGAGCGAATAACTCAAATAGACACTAAACTCAGAGAAGTAAGAGTCGAGAAGTCTGACGAATACTTGGTCCCGCTGCAGCGTCTCAAGGAGAACATGGAGACAAAAACAAAAGTGGCGGATGTACTGAGAAAAATGAGACTGGAGAACATTCAGATAAAATTCGACGCTGAGGAACGTGCAGCTGAGCAGAATCTGCAGAACGAGAAGAACCTCCTGTGGGACTCGATCCACAGCGATCTCCAGGAGAAGATACGGAGGCTCGAGGAGGACAAAAATAACGTGGACATTCACGCTGACCTGTGGTTCAACTCCACTGGCAAACGACGTAGGAGTCACACTGAGAGGAGACGCGCTGTTTCTGTTGCCGGACCCTACATCGTTTACATGCTCAATGATGCTGACATCCTGGAGGATTGGGCGCTTATCAAGAAAAGTCTGAGCAGCCGAAAGGCGGAGATTCTGTGAATGAAGAGACACTCGAAATAGTGATTAATTGGGAGTTGAGCCTATTGTTCAAGTGCATAGTTCTGGAACAATTTATAATTAAGTAATTGAAGAGATTGTGGTAACATGGGGGAGCTTATTGTCGATAATTAGATAGGAACGTTTAAAACTATTGCTCGAGACAACTGTGAAACTGAATTAAAAGTAACATTCGATCAAATCATGAAGTTGTTTGATTTTTGTTGTTCTGTTAAATACGTCTGATTGACAAGAAGCAAATATGAGAAATACAATAAAAATGTTGGGAATAGTAAGAACATTTTTACATTCTCAATGGAATCACGAAAGATATCACTTATTTAGGTGATAATTGTATGGATAATAGCAATTTTCGGTCATTTTCAATACTTGTCTCGATGAAAGAATTAATAACCGCTTAACTACGGTGATTTGACAAACCCTAATTGGCGCAAAAATTCTTGCATCACGACATGAGTAATGAATAGATAGCCAGTCTTATTGAAAACAAATTTCTACAAATATTCCGTTAGTTTGTCCATTTATTTAATAACAATACAATACAAATTTTGGGAATAGTAAGAACATTTTTACATTCTCAATGAAATCACGAAAGATATCACTTATTTAGGTGATAATTGTCTGGATAATAGCAATTTTCGGTCATTTTCAATACTTGTCTCGATGAAAGAATTAATAACCGCTGGACTACGGTGATTTGACAAACTCTAATTGGCGCAAAAATTCGTGCATCGCGACATGAGTAATGAATAGATAGCCAGTCTTATTGAAAACAAATTTCTACAAATATTCCGTTAGTTTCTCCATTTATTTAATAACCTCATTTTTTATTTAAACGGTGACTTATTTAACAATATTATTCGGGAACGCTTTGCCGTGATAAAACACTGAAGTGTACAGATGTGACACAGGATTTAGACAAGAGAGAAAATAGTAATAAAAGTATAGATTTATTCAAGAAGAATTTGTCCCAAAAAAATCGAGGTATTTAATTACATCATGAATGAAGGAAATGATGATGAGAATGGATCGTTGACTTACGATTGATTGTTTCAATAATTGGAAATGCAGATAAATGTTCACCTGGAGACAGGTTCTTGTGGACTCACTGGATCGAGAAGTACATGACGATTAGCGGCGGGGTCTACCAGGTTGCGGATAGATGCCGATAGACAATTCGTAGTGACGTGTAGATGTAGATGATATTACTCAGCTCCAGGGGAGGGGTTGATTCTAGGACTAATATAGGGGAGGGAGGGGTAAAATGGACACTTTCGACGTTTTAAAAAAATTGATAACTCAGAAACAGATTTATCAATTGAGATCAGTCTAGGCTCATCACAAAGGGAAAGAATTGTTCTTTTTCCTTGACAAAAAAGTACTCCATTTCATTAACAATTCATCCCGTCATTAACTTTTTAAAAAAAATCACGAGTATCCATTTTACCCCACTCTGCCCACTTCCACAAATTCTTGAAGGGAATTTCGTACTGACGTTTGGCTCCAAGGGGGGCGGGATTGATTCTAGGACTAATGTAGGGGAGGGAGGGGTAAAATGGACACTTTCGACGTTTTAAAAAAATTGATAACTCAGAAACAGATTCATCAATTGAGATCAGTCTAGCCTCATCGCAAAGGGAAAGAATTGTTCTTTTTTTTTTAATAAAAGTACTCCATTTCATTAACAATTCCTCCCGTCATTAACTTTTTTAAAAAAATCACGAGTATGCATTTTACCCCACTCTCCCGTACTTCAAGAAATTCTTGAAGAAAATTTCGTCCTGACGATTGGATTTTGAAGTTGAACTAGAACTCGAACTAAAAATTGATACCGAAAGGCTTGCAACATTTGGCCAATGAATAATTGAATTCAATTTAAAATCCATCGTCATAGAAATTCCATTCGGAAGAAAATCGCAAATTTATCAGCAAAAATATATTTTGAGTATGTTGTGTCGAAAGCAATTTCCCCCTTTCTTACTTTTAAACGTAATTTTTTATTTATGCTATTTACAACACATACGTACAATACGTGATCCTTGCTTAAAACTACTCTAATCGTCCGGAATGTAATCCTCACCATCATTCTCCTGTCAAAAAAAAATTACCATCCAGTATCATTTCCCAAAGCTCATCACCAGTATGTGTACACCTCGGATGTCTGTGATATGTTACAAATTGTTTTAAAATCATCTCCTTTAATCTTTAAATTCATGTCTCTCGGGAATGTGTGATCACACACGAGTGCTTCCCTGTGAAATTCAACTCGAAGTTGGGGAAATTTGAATTCTCCCATTTCGAGTCAGTAATATTTGATTAGACAGTTATCGAAGAATGACACCAATATAGACAATTGCTGACTGGACAAGTATCACGACTGAAGGGATCAGGGATTCATTACAAAAATTAATCGAAAGTCAACATCGAAGCAACAATTCACTGTTGTTTCTCATAATGCAACAAATTTTCTCTCATTCCCCGTAGAATGTCAATCGCAGAAAAAAAATTACTCGTGAAATGAGAAGAGGCAATTGAATACTTAATCAATAATTAATTACGTAATTTTAACTGTTTCATACACTCACATTCTTCGGTCTCATCCACACAGTGTCTTTAATCCCTAAAAAAATGTTTGGAATTCCGCGATGAAGTGATGAAACGAGATAAATCAATTATTATTCTCATTTGTAAAATATCTCTGTCCAGAGGAAACATTATTTCTCTTGAATTCAGAGATGTTTCCCAGAAAACAGTCGATTTACTCCGGATAAAAACTTCATAACGGAATTATTTTTGTACGTAATGACGAACCAAAGCCACAGAAATTTCAATCTCTAATATTTATTTAAAGGGTACCTTGGCTTATACTTTAAAAGGACATTGAAAAATTCGCGTACACTATTTTTATTCATTATACCCGGCGATTAAACGCTATATGCACTGTATTTTTCACATGTGCCATTTTAAATATCAATTTTCACTCTTTTATTTACAATTAATTTTACTTCTCTCGTCACGGCTGTTCCTTCGCTTATCGATTTTATCTGACAAGTTTTTTTTTCAATTATTTCTTTTCATTTTGTATTATTAAGGTTCTTGCAGAGCTCTTGCTTCGTTGTTGGAGATAATTAGCGAAACAGCCTGGTGGAATTTTCACTCGTCGCAATTTTCACTCTGGCTTGTCTCGAATAAGATTAGTGAAACAAGTTGTTTAATAAAAACAAGGAAATCAGGAGGGTCCAGACAAGACAGAATCGATGCTTTCGTGGATTATAAATCGATTTGATTAATTAATTTTTTTATAATATGTATAATGCATACTTTCGTGGACATGTAGACGCAGCTACTTTATCAAAATTGTCAGATTCGTTATTTCTTTCGTTAACTGAACGAAAAAAAAATGTAATGAGGGGGTAAAACCTCATTTGCCCAGTTTTTATGTTCTATTTATTTCCGAAAACAATTTTTTTTCTCATTGAGAAAAAATATTTCAATGTTTTTGAACATTCTAATGAATTTTGACAACTCGCCAGGTTTTAATGAATATCTCGAAATCTAACGGAAATCGCAAAATTTTTTATATGACTTTTTTTGTAGCCCTCAAGTCACTCTATAAAAAAGGTCATTACGAAAATTTCGCTATCTCCCTTAGATTCGGAGATATTCCTCGAAAACTCAGCTGAGTTTTACCCCTTCGCTAGTGAAATGTTGAATTAATTATTCATGAATAATGGAATGAGACTAGATCAGTTACCAAGTTTGACTAGAAAAAAATGAAAAATTGTGGGTCAAGTTTCGGGAACGAATCAACAAGTCCCTTATTTTTCGGATGTCTCTAAACATCTCGAAAAATTTAAAGTTATGTTTGATACTGGAGCATTGGGGCAGCTAGGTTTGGATGATGCGCCGTGTTCATTCTCAAGGCTGAGATGCTTTTGTTGTACCACTCGTCTTCTGCTGACATTCCTGAAGAGATGAAAAAATGCATCATTATTCCTCAGTACAATTTATGAGTGAATGAATGGAAATGGGCTCATGGCATCGAACAAATTGTTTCGATTCATCTCCAGAAGTCAATTTGGTAATTAATGATTCTTTCCTGGATAATTCTATTTTCTTAAATTCTCGAATTGCCAAATTTATTGTAAATTGCTATTCAAATGTAGGAATAAGTGGACAACTCAGTTGAAAAGAGAAAAAAAATTGGCTAAATAAATCATTCACCTTACAAATTATATTTCTCATCAAATTAGAAGTGTTGTGGCGTACTTTTCCGGTCTCAAAAACAATAATTAAAGAAAATGTTCATAGATAATGGAGGACTTGTGACTGCAGTGGTAACAGTCGAATTTTGGTCGGGCAACATCGCACGCTTCGGCTAGTAGTGGGGTCGTAACAGTGAGATGAATGTTTGTGTGTGTGATACGTGTCCATATGCTTCCAGCACTGAATTATCGTCACCGACTTTACCGACCTCGATCAGCTGTTGTGCGGTGTTGTCGCGTTGCTCGACTCGTAATGGCGGTCAAATTTTTTTTAGAGGAATTCGCAAATCGATCGAAGATATCACGCCTATATGGCCCGGTCCCCTACTTGTTCTCGCCGGCGATAGATTCTCCATAGTCTAAAGTAAATGGCTTGTGGTTTTTTTCAATATCTTGAATGTCTAACCCATGCAACGTCTCGATCAAAGTTCACACGCTCACGTTTCTTCCCTAAGCGTAACGTTACAAGAAGTGATTTTCCGGAATTAATTTCTCACTAGGATGACGATGGAAGGATTAAGATTGTTACTAACGTGTGGCTCAAATATGAACCTGGCATATGAGACAATATCAAAATTATGGTGAATAATGCGGGTTTTGGATCAACATCCTTAAGAGACGAACTGGGGTCCGACGCGTACATAAGTCGTAAACTCTTTGTAATCAGTCAGATGACGCAGTCTGACCATTGGTGTGATTTATCCCTTCAAGCCTAAAACCTACTCTAATGATAAGTACCCCATACGCTGGGTACAACAAAATTTTAAGGGGAGGTTCACCGCCAGGAGATAACTCTTTTTGAGGAAAAATTTCTAAAGAATTTTCGCGTGATTTTTCTTCAGGAATTTGATTCTGTAGGTCAAAAATTTCTCCCACCGTTCAAAATTAGAGATTTGAATTTTTTGTAACCGACAATTCAACTTGAAAAAATTCCAACATGAAAGTTATCTTTGAAATAACTTTTTAAATATGGGAAAAAGATATTTCAAAGATAACTTTTTGTCATATTTAAAAATGAAATATAAAAAAAAGTCATTTCCAGCGTAAAATAGGACGTTTTGTTTTCTAAATTACGATTCTAGGACAGTTTTCCCCCGGATAAAATCTCCCTGAAAAAGGAATTTGCGATGAGGAAACCGGATCCGGCCAAAATAAATATAATGATAATGCTCAATTAAAGGGGTTTTTATTACTGAATCGCACAATAGAACACGTGAAATTATCGAGTCTTTACCCTCAATGAAATTACAAAAGAATTAAATTCATACGGATTTTAATTTGCGGAAAATTTACCCCTCAGAAGACTCGTTGAAAGGAATTTTTTCGAGGAAATTTCGCAAAAAGCAATTGTCCGGGGAGATTTTTTCCGGGGAAATTTTTTTCAGCAAGATTTTGTCCGGGGAAAAACTGTCCGACTACCCTAAATTACGCATAATATAATAGGCACAGAAATATTGTTCTCCTCTATTCAATAATTAGGCATCGATGAAATTATTTGAATGAGCGATTAATTTTATGATGCTCATAATAACGAGCGAACCAACGCGTCGAGAAATCGTTTGACTCGATAATAAGGAAGAGCGATTATGATGGATTCTAGCAGATATAAGGGAACACCGATAAGCAATTCCTCGAATAGTCTTGATTCGATTTAAAAGCGATATGCCATCTTGCGCCGGAAATGATGTAAGACGCTCGCTCGTTGAAGGAAATGGAGCGTCTTCGAGTGAGGCTTCTCCTCAGCGCCCACTCAGCATCACTCCAAGATTCGTTGTCATTTCCGGTTTATCTTTTATGGTGTGTCGCGTCGAAAATACGAAATAGATTCGTTGGGAGGTCAGATCGCACCGGAGAATCAGGAAAAATTCCTTCTCATTTCTTTAAACGTCACCTCACTTTCATTTCGAATGAGCGATTTCACTGTGAATTTGAAGAGGGAATAGATGTAGATGATTTAAATTATTTACCCATCGCATCTTGCCGCATTCCGGTGACTGCCGACATGTTTGACGCTGAGTGGGACATCGAGAAAGGCTGAGGCATACTTGGATATGACGTCGCTCCCATCTGAAATAATTTTTTCATTCTTAGAATTTCCAAGAATATGGGGAGCTCCATATGGATTGCAATGCGTCCGCCATGACAGCGATAGAGAATTGTTAGTTTGCAGTATAAATTTAATGATAGTATCGGCAAATATTTATGTAAATATGCGAAATTTTTATTTCTTCTCCATGAATATTTTAAGTCACCAATTGATTGAAATTATCACATGCCCCCTCTTCAGAGGTTTCAAGGATGAGCCTGATCATGCATGCAAATTATTGGCTCAATTAAATCAGTGGGCTTTCAGTAATCTGTGCGGCCCGTACTAATTACTCCGAATGCAATTTAGTTACGTGGAGGACACACGCCGACGGATCGTGCCCCCCACACAGTGGCCGACTTGAGCCGTATCAATTACCCCAGTCGTTAGGGTCATATGAAGCCCACAGGACCGTAAGACACCATCGAATCCATTAGGATTTTTTTTTAATCTTCGGGAGCTTTACCTGGGGATAGCGGTTGATGCCGTTTATGCTGTTGTGCGGATGTGCGTAAGGCTGATATCCCCTTCCAGCTCCTGGGTAAATATTCCTCATCATTGCTCCTTGACAGGCTGGTATTGGTGCCAACGCCTTTTGTAATTGTTTCTCCTGTTTTCTGTATTTTGCTCTTCTATTTTGAAACCATACCTGTAACAATAAATATTTGTTTTTTACGAGATTATATTTCCGGAGAAGATTCAAGCCGCTGTGGGCCAATATTTAATATAATATAATATAATATAATATAATATAATATAATATAATATAATATAATATAATATAATATAATATAATATAATATAATATAATATAATATAATATAATATAATATAATATAATATAATATAATATAATATAATATAATATAATATAATATAATATAATATAATATAATATAATATAATATAATATAATATAATATAATATAATATAATATAATATAATATAATATAATATAATATAATATAATATAATATAATATAATATAATATAATATAATATAATATAATATAATATAATATAATATAATATAATATAATATAATATAATATAATATAATATAATATAATATAATATAATATAATATAATATAATATAATATAATATAATATAATATAATATAATATAATATAATATAATATAATATAATATAATATAATATAATATAATATAATATAATATAATATAATATAATATAATATAATATAATATAATATAATATAATATAATATAATATAATATAATATAATATAATATAATATAATATAATATAATATAATATAATATAATATAATATAATATAATATAATATAATATAATATAATATAATATAATATAATATAATATAATATAATATAATATAATATAATATAATATAATATAATATAATATAATATAATATAATATAATATAATATAATATAATATAATATAATATAATATAATATAATATAATATAATATAATATAATATAATATAATATAATATAATATAATATAATATAATATAATATAATATAATATAATATAATATAATATAATATAATATAATATAATATAATATAATATAATATAATATAATATAATATAATATAATATAATATAATATAATATAATATAATATAATATAATATAATATAATATAATATAATATAATATAATATAATATAATATAATATAATATAATATAATATAATATAATATAATATAATATAATATAATATAATATAATATAATATAATATAATATAATATAATATAATATAATATAATATAATATAATATAATATAATATAATATAATATAATATAATATAATATAATATAATATAATATAATATAATATAATATAATATAATATAATATAATATAATATAATATAATATAATATAATATAATATAATATAATATAATATAATATAATATAATATAATATAATATAATATAATATAATATAATATAATATAATATAATATAATATAATATAATATAATATAATATAATATAATATAATATAATATAATATAATATAATATAATATAATATAATATAATATAATATAATATAATATAATATAATATAATATAATATAATATAATATAATATAATATAATATAATATAATATAATATAATATAATATAATATAATATAATATAATATAATATAATATAATATAATATAATATAATATAATATAATATAATATAATATAATATAATATAATATAATATAATATAATATAATATAATATAATATAATATAATATAATATAATATAATATAATATAATATAATATAATATAATATAATATAATATAATATAATATAATATAATATAATATAATATAATATAATATAATATAATATAATATAATATAATATAATATAATATAATATAATATAATATAATATAATATAATATAATATAATATAATATAATATAATATAATATAATATAATATAATATAATATAATATAATATAATATAATATAATATAATATAATATAATATAATATAATATAATATAATATAATATAATATAATATAATATAATATAATATAATATAATATAATATAATATAATATAATATAATATAATATAATATAATATAATATAATATAATATAATATAATATAATATAATATAATATAATATAATATAATATAATATAATATAATATAATATAATATAATATAATATAATATAATATAATATAATATAATATAATATAATATAATATAATATAATATAATATAATATAATATAATATAATATAATATAATATAATATAATATAATATAATATAATATAATATAATATAATATAATATAATATAATATAATATAATATAATATAATATAATATAATATAATATAATATAATATAATATAATATAATATAATATAATATAATATAATATAATATAATATAATATAATATAATATAATATAATATAATATAATATAATATAATATAATATAATATAATATAATATAATATAATATAATATAATATAATATAATATAATATAATATAATATAATATAATATAATATAATATAATATAATATAATATAATATAATATAATATAATATAATATAATATAATATAATATAATATAATATAATATAATATAATATAATATAATATAATATAATATAATATAATATAATATAATATAATATAATATAATATAATATAATATAATATAATATAATNTTTCTTGAGAGGGATTTGCGGGGTATTTTTAGGGAATCTTCATTCTTATCGAGTGGAAATGGTCCGTATGCGGTCAAACATGGAATAGCATGTCGCATTTTCATGTATTTCTAGCGAAAGTGGACATCAAAATGAAAAAAATTGCACATGGGTAGATTTTCTAAATTAATTGAATGAATTTCAGAAGAAGTGGAAGAGGTTCGTGTGTGGGCAGACGTATTTTTTGTACAAAATTTCTCCTTGTGAAGAGGAAATATTATTTCTTGAGGAGGATTTGTTGGTTATTTTTCGGGAATTTTTATTCTTATCGAGTGGAACCGGTCCGTATGCGGTCAAACACGGAATAGGATGTCGGATTTTCACGTATTTATAGCGAAAGAGGACATAAAAATAAAAAAAATGCACATTGGTAGATTTTCTAAATCGAATGAATTTCAGAGGAAGTAGAAGAGGTTCATGTGTGGTCAGACGTATTTTGTGCTCAATTGGTGTTTTTTGCAATTGAATTCCAGAAATTCACACTCCGAAGTCTGTTCTAGAAGGAATTGAATTGCAATTATAATTAAGATCTTATCAAGCGAGCATCGGCATTCAAACATGAGCAAATCATTTATCGTAATACGAAAATTTAACAGCTGATAAATTGGAACACGTGATTCTCATCGTTTATATTACTTTCTGCAATGAGAGTGATTACAAGCAATTCATTGAACAAAGAAATATCGAGAGGCCATCATCACCCTGGGTAGAAAAGGCCTCTGCGTAGTCAGAAATATTTTCAAATGTCTATTTCTCCGAATTTTTTCCCAAAATTCTTCAAAAATTCTTCAAAGAGCAGAAAAAATTAATAAACCCGGAAAAATACTCCACCTAAACAGTAGAAAATACAAAAATATAATCAGATTCTCTGAAAGCAAGAGTGAAAGGAACGAAAAAAGTAGGTAACAAATAATGCCAATAAAATTTATGAAAACCCGAGGAAAAACGAATGAATGAAAGAGCATAAAAACGCGGAAAAAAAAGGCCGGCTAAATTATTCAGAGTAAAGAATTCCCTGAAAAAATATCGTCTCAAAGAAAACGAAGACAGTGAGCGAGTGGAGTAGATACATGTGATGAGAGACTCTTCCCTCTTATATACGTGAGAGCATTAAATTCTGAGGGTGTCCCTCTCCCCATTGCGAAGTCTCTCGCACACATCTTCCCAAGCTCCCAGAGAAGACTCATATCCAGCAAGACCTGTAAAGCTACTATTAGCTTAACAAAACAATTACATATTGGTAGATTTTCTAAATTAATTGATGATAAAATCGAGTAGAAAAGGCCTCTGTGTAGTCAGAAATATTTTCAAATGTCTATTTCTCCGAATTGTTTCCCAAAATTCTCCACAGAGCAGGAAAAATTAATAAACCCGGAAAAATACTCCACGTAAACAGTAGAAACTGCAAAAATATAATCAGACTCTCTGAAAGCAAGAGTGAAAGGAACGAAAAAAGTAGGTAACAAATAATGCCAATAAAATTTATGAAAACCCGAGGAAAAACGAATGAATGAAGGAGCATAAAGACGCGGAAAAAAAAGGCCAGCTAAATTATTCAGTAAAGAATTCCCTGAAAAAAAATCGTCTCAAAGAAAACGAAGACAGTGAGCGAGTGGAGTAGATACATATGATGAGAGACTCTTCCCTCTTATATACGTGAGAGCATTAAATTCTGAGGGTGTCCCTCTCCCCATTGCGAAGTCTCTCGCACACATCTTCCCAAACTCCCAGAGAAGACGCGTATCCAGCAAGAACTGGAAAGCTAAGAGTTGGTAATTCAATAACCATACTCCCTTGCCTTTCCACGTACCATTCCGTCTTATCATCCAACGGTTTCCCCACTCCCTGCGCTCCACTCCGTCCATCTCTGCCTTCGCCAGTGTAAGGAGGATGTTTGAAGGGAGAAAGAGGGATGAAATGAGGTTGGGATGTTGCCTCGGATGCCCTAGGACACGACGCTCTCTCCCTGAGGGAGGCAAAAGCTCGGGATGTCTGCTACCACTTGGAACATTGGGACTAAAACTATTCCTTTTTCGTCTCTATCTCCCTGTACTCAACTCCACCGGGAATTCAACTCTATTTCGGTGGGTCTTATTGCAGGGTTATTACTTCCATCAGCTTTTTGTTATGATTTTTTTTTGCCCTCGCCCAGGGAGGGGTATAGGGGAGGGTGGGGTAAATGGACACTTTAGACTTTTCTTAAATTATTCATAACTCAGAAACAAATTTGTCAATTGAGAAAAATTGTTCTTTGTATTGAACAAAAATTATCAACTTTCATCAACATTTCAACCCGTCATTAACATTTTTTAAAAAGTCAAGAGTGTCCGTTTTACCCTAACCTCCCCTATGGGTGTCTTGCAAAAATTTTTCATTTCGGTGCACTCTCTGCA